GGTGAAATTCCATTTTGACAACCTCATGTTTTTAGACGGTGGACAGCGTATTGAAAGGTAATGGACGTTTAAGAGCGTGCATAACTCGATCAGCCGTTCACTGTACATTAGCCTTTATATATCGGCCATCCGTTGCTTGAACACCCCCTCCACCCCCTCCCAAAGCGGTCGCTAGGCAACGCGTTGCCATGGTTGCGCCACGCATTGATTGTCGGCGGTATGACGCGCGTGTGACGTCATCCACTTGTATTGAATATAATTACGGTGACAGTATGTTGGCGTTTTGATTTCAGATGGCCGAACAGTTTTGATGTAAATGAGTTTTTATTCGAATTTGTGCCACCATTCTCGGAATGAAAACAATGCAGAACTTGGGACTTATTTGTTATGCAATATTACAGAATTTAACGTTTTTATAATTGAAATTTGTCGAGTATTTTGGAGTTGACCAAAATTTGGAGACTTGATACTGAAATAATGCATGCTGTTGGCTGACACATAAGGTTAACACACTTTGTGAGTCCAATCAAAGTTTAGTACAACAGCACTTTCCGAGCTGTATAATTATAACGCATAGATAACCAAAAAAATTCGCTCAAAATCTGTTGTTGGTGTGAGGATTTTAAATTTCGATTCCTTGATGTAGAGCATTAACAGTAGATGTCATAGTGCATGCAATTAACAAGACTTCACCATGTCTTCTTTTATTCCATCCCTCAGGTAGAAGTATCACACTTAATCTTCATGAGCATTTTCCTTTGTAGCCTGACTGTTTACTAACCACATATTTCAAACACAATTCAAAACCATAAAATAAATTTAGGAAGCCTTTTACAATGCTACTGAGATGCTGAGGGTGGCATGCAGTAGTGTAGTTGGTTGACGCACTATGCTACAAGCCTTAAGGTCACGTGTTCCAAGTCTCGATGAGGTCATTGGATTTTTTCAAATGACCTAATCCTTCCAGCCGCACTATGGCCCTGGGGTCGACTTGGGGCTGGTCCCCCTTCCAAGGAGTCGTATCAACTGTCAAAAAGGATTGACATTCCATGATTTATTCTAACCGTCTTACAGTGCATACATTTATTCACCTTACTCTTCTCTCTTGCACTACATGTTTCAGCACAAAAGTGCCATCTTCAGGTGCTTTTCGATGTACGTCAAACTACTTCATTGCATGCCCTGTTGTCTTATTCGTCATATATATTGATAAATTTTAAATATTAAAAATATTAAAACTGTTCAGGATTTGTCATCCTTATGTCGTATCTCAATACGCGAGTCACACCTGTCTTCTTCTATCGGAGTATTCTTCCTACTTTCGTGTGTATTGTGCTTTGTGTTGTGTCTTGCTCCTGTGACTGCATGTGTTATACTCACAGCTTCAAAAATTTGAAGGGGAACATGCCATAGAGCCTAATCCGTCGAGGTATAAGATGATTTACTTCTGTCACTATCCTGTACACATGCTTCACATTCACCATTAGTATTTATCTTCAACTTGGATAGGCTTTTATTTTAAATCCTTTTAGAATAATTAAGGAAACAATTTTGAAGCTTTTCTCATTCGTCAGATTCACTGTGGACCCTGGGTCCACTTCAGATGTGAATGGTAAATGAACGATCATTCTTACACATAAGGCTGTGTTTAATCATGTTTAATGTTAATCGTCTTCACCTCAGTCACTTCACTTTCAGTAGTTGTATTTGTTTTGCCATCTGTCTTTTTTCCTTCATAGAACTGGCCACTTTCAAGTTCGCTGCTGACCTGGGTATCTAACCCAGTGTAGTTACACGGTAGGTAGTCTTATATCATTCTCACTGGATTAGGCCTGTTCTCTTATCCTGAGCTGCAAATCTACTCTTCTGCTGAAGTCACTTAGGCTTGATGTACTCATCTTTCCAGATCAGAAACACAGAATGGCTGAAGAGTTTTTGTGGGGCGGGTGGTGCTTTGCTTTGTCTGCATTTAGGTTAGATGTACACTTAACATACTTTTGACTGTTCTTAATTTGTAACTTCTGCACAAGTTGTGAGTTAACAGCTCTTGTGTTCTGGTTAGGGATTTCTGTTTCTAGTTTACAGGCCTTGGACCAATTAGGGGAATTATTTGCCTTGGAGCAACCTCAGCCTGATAGCTTTAGCCCAAATTCAATAATACACTTCCAAAAGCCACTTCTTGAGACATCTTTCAAATTTCTGTAATACCCTTAACAAATTTCCCTTCCTGTTGTATACCTGTACTAAATGTTGATTGAGCCATTTGCTTGTAACATGTAACATCATGGTTATATGATGTAGAGTCCCTAATTTCGAGCAGTATGCAGTATTTTTCCTGATGTAATGTTTGGAACTTTTTTTTTACGTTTGCATCTAGGAAGGAACAGCTAGTTGGGCACGTGATTATATAATGCAGAATTCTTACATGTGACAGCAGCTGCAAGAAGTGCACCACTTCAAAACATTCAGAATTAACTGAAAGTTTTATGAAGTAACTGCGTGAAGCAAATCACAAATGATGCTCATATATCATGCGTTCGTACTCTTTAGAACTGTACTACGTTTCAGAGAGACCAGTTATTATGAGTTTCCGATTATGAATGATATTGCTCTTGAATTTGTATGAAGTGGAATATATTTCAGCATTGTGTGATGCTTCATTGTTGCAGTTTGTTTAAAGACTGATTGACTATGGATAATTATTCAGATCCATGTATCACAGTAAATTACAAACTTACTACTAGTTTATGGTACAGGGATTTATTTATAACATATTCCCAGATTCCACAAAACCCTTTTGTTTCATCATTGCAATACAATCCTGATAGGCTCTTATTTTGGGTCTTTTGAATGATTCGCTGTGCATATCGACTACATTTTCAGCCACTGTAGTGAATTTCTGTAAGTGTTTAATGCAAGAATATAATCAAGTGTGTGCAGTTTTTAATTAATAAATAATTATGAGGTGAAGTTTGCCTCAGCATCGGTTGGCAATCTTCAGGATGTCCAGTGGTAATGAAACTTCACGTATTATTAAATAAATGACTTAAAATTTTACATGAGGTATTTAAAATAGGTATTACATAACATATCACTACCATTAAAACCATACCAGCACAAAACACCACAGACATGGCGCAAGACATGATTAGAGAGACAATTCTGTATATCATGGTATGACTGAGTGCATTACACCAGAAATGTTAAAGAAGCAGTTACTTACATATATCACTGAATTTCTGCATCATATTAGTTTTAATGCTAATTATATTTTATATAGTCTATTTTAAATGATATGCAAATATTTAAATAATTTACATAAGGTTATGCAATATTTTTAATATTGAATGCTCCTGATGATGGACAATTGAAGCTGAAACAATTTGGCCTTCATACTGGACACAGTTGATGGTATTTTGCATTTATCCTGTGTCTTGAGTATTTACATGTACCATACTCTACTGTTTGGCGTACAGTGGTGAAGTAGATCAGCGATCAAGATATTTGGTGTGCAGGATAAGTATTTGTAGCCTTTAATTATTTTTACACTGCTAGTGACAGTAATTAGCATCAACCATACTACACAGGACTGTGAAGAGAGTCATGTTGTACAAAATACTGAAAGGCTTAAGAAACTATATTTGAAGATATTAGTGGATAATGATTGTCGAGAAATCGCTGTGAGATGTTCTCCTACACTGGTAATAGGATACATGGCATCAGCATCTCACATTCCCCAAGCTCAGCAGTTTTATTCACAACTCAAGTGGTGCTACTGTCAAGTAGCAGTACTGTACTGGCTGATCAATATTCAGGCCTTCC